TCATATTTCCGAAGCAATGTTAGAAAACACCTCTGGTGCAGATGCCTCATAGGGTGATTCTGATAACGATGAATGTGAATCAGGCGAGGGTGAATATATGTATATAATTGCATGTAAGCCCTGTATGGATAAATCAAATGATACTTATGATTGTAGTTTTATTGATGAACTTATTTTAAAACTTGAAAAGGAAAAATATAAGTATAAAAGGTTTTTCAATTCATACTTTAGATATTATATTGATTTAATAAAAGCAAAAGAAACAAATAGGGATGATATTATGCAAATGTGTCAAGAGCAAATGCAGAAGTTAATCATTGAATATAGTCAGATATATACACATGAAAATGAAAGTGAAGATGAATATAGTGATGATTCTGATTAAACTTGTATCGGCCATTAATGGCTATACCGTTTAGGACAGGCTTATTAACTATAACAAAATCAATAAACAACTAACAGCTAGACAAGTAATAGCAGAACACCCTAGTCGGTTCGGTTCGGTTCCCTTCAAGAACCGAACCGAACTGAGCTGTGTGGAACCCTAATTGCAGCAGCCAAGAGCCTGTACCAGCAGAAGCACAGCAGCAGTGGCTTCAAACTGGAACACTGCTGGAAGGTTCTCCGGTATGCAGAGAAGTGGCACAGCCAGACCGAAAGAAGTATAAGAAGAAGAAGAAAACCTGCTGCCGCCACTACCAATGGCAGTGATGGCGAGGAAAACGACGACGTTGACGATGACGACGATGGCCATAGCCGGCTGATTGGCCACAAACAGGCTAAGCGCCAGGCCACCGACAATAACCAATGGGAGAAGATGTGTGCCGAGCCGTTGGCTATTGAGCGAGAGCAGCTTGCTCTCTCACGAGAACGATCTGCTGCTCTCGCTCAAATAGCTGACCAAGAGATCATGGCGACTCCCATAGATGGCATGGACGACGTCGCCTGTGCCTACTTCACAGCTATGAAGGCTCGGATTTTGGCCCGCATTGTTAGTGAGCAGCAACAACAACAACAACAGCAAGAAGAACAGGAAGTAGAAGAAAGTGATGAAGAAGAAGAGTAAGGAGAAGAATAAAGCAATGTTTTTTAAGGAAAAGAAGTTCAGATGGAGGTTAAGAAAACAAAAAACGAAAGCAAGAAAAGGAAAGAGGGAAAAGGAGAGAAAAGGGTGGGGATGGAATAGGGGTCGTCATTAACGGATTCGAAACGGATCGAGCGATTCCGAATCATTTCGTATAAAACGGATCAGTTTTTTTGCAATCCGGAATGGATCCGCATTGTAAATATGGGATCCGAATCCGTTTCGTATAAATCCGGATCAAATCCGAAATCTGAGTATAGAGTTAAGTTTTGAACACAAATTACTGAAAAGTGAGCTTTAGATGGTACAAGGTGGCATTTATTTAATTTAGCAGTAGTGAACATCAGAAAAAAAGAAGAGGATAGGGAAGAAGAAAAAGCAACCAGGGCATGGCTACTGGAAGAAAGTAATAAAGAAGTTGAACGATCAATGGGGCAATGACACTAGCTGGGCTTTGAAATAATGAAAAAAAGGGAGGGAAGGGAAGTGGAATCATTTTTGTAGGTGACCATAGGTCAAGGGAAAGGGAAGTAAAAAAGGGAGGGTTAGTACGAAGAATTGTAGAACTGCTGTTTGTTTTCTCTAATACAACGTAGAAACGGCGAACAGTAACTCCTTCTTAACTTTCACCAAAATACTTGGACCACGAGTCGAGCAGCACACTTGCTTCCAGTTTGCTATACCCAAGCTAATTCCGTTCACTTGGGATGTATTGCTTGGCACGGGAGAGAAGCCATTCAGATCCTGTTGATGAGGCTGGAATCGCCAAATATTGGCATGCCATTTGCCTCAACTCTTGGCCACTGTTCACGTCCCTCTGCCAAAACTCCAAAACGATCGAAGTATACTCACCGTCGGACTCGTCGATTACTGTATCTGTGGAAACATATCTTTCCAGCTGGTCCGTGTTCGATCTCCTCTTCTTGATCAACGCATCTGGGTTTGATGGGGAAGGTTCTTGCGTTCTTGATGGCTTGTATGTTTGCCATGTCTTCTGCACCATCTCAATAGCCTCCTCGCGATACTCTCCCCAGTTCTCGTCTTCCCACCACTCGTATTTTAATTGAGGGTCCATGGCAGTACAGTAGCAACAGCAAAAGAGTGGCCTTGAGCCTTGCAGTTGTACCCTTTGAGCTTTTCCTAACCGCATTGTGTTGCGTGCACCAGCCCAGGCCACGTCTAACATATAAAGAAGTAGTTGTGTAAGTATGTGATAAATAGTGTTCGATGGAAATACGCATATATAGAGTTATAACCTACATCCTCCTATTTATCTATGTATAGTTCGAGCTTTTCAAGCAAATGGTTGTAAGCAAGAATGACCAGATTCATAGTTGCGTAGCTAGCGCCAGACAGCAATGGGGTCATTCAGGCGAACTCATAGAGTAACTCGGCCACCTTCTCCAGACATGTCCATTCGTCATCTGTCAAGAAGTATCCTTGAAGGGCCTCAAGATTCCGGCACGTCGTATTGTATGCATGCTTGACTGTAAGAGCTCTTTGGAGCATGGCATATGTAGAATTCCAACGAGTGCGAACGTCCAATACTAGCTCACGGCGATCTTCAATCTCGTCCTGATCTATGGCTTCGTCGTTATCGTCGGTAGTTGGATGCTGGTGGGCAACGACCTTGAACGAGCTATGATAATGATCCAGTCTTTGTGGAGACGCTCTGATGGCAACAATCCCTTTGCGAAGCTTACGCAACGTTATGCCTAAGGTAAATTAAGCTTAATTACTATACACATGTTGATGGGTGGATATTGCTTTTTTTTGCTTATTTACCTGCATTGATGGTTGTAGTTATTTCTTGGTTGTCACTGTCCAAGGCTTGCTCTGCATTGTCGTACGCTTCTACTTCTAAACCTTTGTGGAGGATCGCTTGCACCGCCAAATTGATTATATGCGTGATGCAGGGGATACGATTCTCTTCGGCATCAAAGACATCGTGTCCAACAGCAAGTTCAATCTCTGTGGCCATTATCGTCATATTGGATGTATTGTCGGTAGTCAGAAAGAGCGGCTTGGACACGAGGTTCCAATCGTTCAAAACTTTCAGGAACGCCCCCGCCATGTTGGCACCAGTGTGAGGGCCGGAGAGAAGCTGGAGACCTAAGGCAATGGATTGTTGGTTCCAGTCGTCATCGATCCAGTGGGCAGTGATACCAAGAAACGGAACCTTCCATTCACTTGTCCAAGCATCGACAGTGTATGAGAGGCACGGCTGAGCTTGCAGGATGACATCAATACGGCTTCACTGAACCTGGTACATGGTAAGCAAATCATGGGAGGCAGTACTGCCTCTTGGAAGTTTGACGTGGGTGAGACTTGGGGCTGATTGCATGAGGTTCAACAATCGCTGGAAGTAGGGATTTTTGACAATCATGAATGGCAATGCAGCAGACACAATGAACAAACACAGCATCCTGCGGAAGACCTCTGGATCAAACTGTTGGAAATGCGGCGTGGTGCTGCCTCCCAAGTAAGTGTGGAGTGTATTATCTTTTGGTGGTGCATCAACGGGCGTGTCCTTAGTGATACCGTGCTTCAACAAATGTTTTATAAGGCCAGTGGTTGTTCCTTATGGATCCTTGTACTTTTTAGGCGTTCTATACGGAGTATGAAATCGCCTTCTGAAATCACTTGGGCCGTCTGTCTGTCTGTCTGTCACGCTTTTCGTTGCCATGACAACACTATATGGTGTATGGTTGTATTTTACTACCAGAGATAAAGTCCTCATAGCTTTATAAATTGTTGTACTTATGATGGATTCTAGTTAAAGAAGAGTGGACTTCAAGATCAAAATAAAATTTATTAACAGCGATTCTGGTACTCATTATTGCAATGGGGATGTAGCGAAAAAAACGAAAGGAACGATGCAAAAAGTGCTGCAGGAGAGAGAACTACAGGTTATTCGACACGTATTTTTTCTAGAAGATATATGCTACCGTCGGCCTGATTTGAATTTAAAAAGGTTGATTGTAACAGGAAGAGTTGCAATGGCTTTAAAGTGTTGCCTGATTCAACTGTTTTGAACAAAGTGAGGCGTAAAGTTCGCGTCCTGTCAAAAGTTTGACAGTGTTTTTTCTACTTGTATGCAGTATCCGAGTTTTTATTAATGCGCAGCAATGGAACACTGCAATAGGTCAAGCTGGATTAGTGACGTGTATTGCATTGACAAAACAATGAACTTGCGTGTCAATTAGTTTGCATAGTTGTGTGCATCCATATTGAAATACACGTTTATCGTATTACCAAGAAAACAAAACAAACCGCTATAAATGGCTCGTCCTCGAAATACTGCTCACAGAACCGTGCATCTGCTGCTGAGCGCCAGCGCCGTGCAAGAGCTGCCAGAACCCAAGCCAAAGTGGGGGAAAGACGAGTAGTAGATCGCGATCGTCATCGTCGTGCACGAGAAGATGAAAATAGCCGGGATGTCGAACGGGTATGCACCACTCTGTATTCCTGCATAATAACTTGAGTTTCTTACTATAGTACAATCCAGGAACGTGATCGTGCGGCACACAGCAAGCAAGAGAAATACCGAGTATCGTGACGCTGAACGGGTATGCACCTACCATTCCTATATCCAACCCATTGTTGAATACCATATCAGCTGTACCATCATTGACGTTTAAATGAACCTTATGTTATATATTCAGGAACGTGATCGTGAGGCACGACAGCAAGCAAGAGAGAATACCGAGTATCGTGACGCTGAATGGGTATGCACCTACCATTCCTATATCCAACCCATAGTTGAATACCATATCAGCCGTACCATCATTGACGTTTAAATGACCCTTACCGTTATATATTCAGGAACGTGATCGTGAGGCACGACAGGAAGCAAGGGAGGATGTCGAGTATCACACCATAGAGCAGGTATGTATCATATCCAATCCATAACTCGCTGTGCTTCATACATTTATGTCACTACGTCATATATCAGGCTCGCACAAGAACCAGACGTCAGCAGTCAAGGCTCTCTTGGCAATCTGTAAGTGCCACCTACCGCAACCGAATCGCTGATGGCCCCGACAAAATTTGCGAGTGTTGCGGAGGGTTATTCTTTCGAACGTCGATGGCTACCTTAACAAGAGAAGCTATGGTCGCGGCTCGTGTTCCGGAAGACATAATCCGCGATGTGTTTGCGGTGAATCAGGACGCTGCATCCTCGCTCTTTTGTGCAACCTGCAAGTCGCATATCTCAAAGAAAAAGACACGACCAAAGCTATGTCTTGCGAACGGCCTACGTCTACCCAACGTACCTGATTCCTTGTCGCAGTTAACAAGGTTGGAAGAGAGGCTCGTCGCACCGCGCCATGTTTTCCAGACAATTTGGCTGGTCATGGGTATCCACGGGCAATATTGATCAAAAGGTGCTATTGTAAACATCCCTGTATCTGTACAAACAACAGTGACCTCGTTACCTCGACCAATACAAGATGCAAATATATTTCACGTGGAGAACGTACACGTACAGCTGGCTAGACGTTTACAATACAGGTGCAATTACGCTGATGGTAACGTTCGCCCACAACTCGTCTACGAAGCTCTTCGTGAGCTGATGGAGACTACTCTCTACCAAGAGCTCGGCATTCAGGTGGCAGAAGAATGGGTGGAGAACAATTCTATAAACACAAACGCTGCGAATTCAGAAGATGGGAGTGGAGAGGAAGAACAAGAACAAGAGCCGGAGGCACCGCCAGAAGGAGCCATAGAAGCAATTACTGAGACTGAAATCCGAAATGACACCACCACAGAAGAGCAGCTAATCAACTCCGGTATCCAGGAGACGCTCCTCACCGGAGATTTGGGTCTGCGCCTGGCTCCAGGAGAAGGGCGAACACCCTTGCCGTTGCTATTGGACACTGATAGCGAATTTCTAGCCTTCCCGCAAATATTTGTCGGAAGACGCCTCTGACCAAGTAACGGTGCAGGACGCCCACTGACATATGTCGATATAACGAAATCCTTAGCTCGTTGCTATAATCGAACCGCCGCATCCAGATCAGACTATTTGCTGTTCATGGATCGAAAGCGCCAGCTCACACAGCTCTCAAGCAACATACAGATTTGCCTGCGAAAGCGTACCATGTCCGGTCCTAATAGCGATCGGTTGTTTACAGTCTCCGATGCTTTAGATGAAAATCTGGTCAATTCCATGGTTACACGCGATGCTGCATACAAAGTATTCTACGGTATCCGGTCATCAGGGGAGTACTGGCGTCAAGAAAAAATGAAGCTGCTTTCGATGATCTGCCAACATGGGCTCCCCACGTTGTTTGTCACTGTCTCAGCCGCAGAAACACAATGGACAGCATTGCTTCAAATATTGGCATCTGTTGTAGACAGGAGACAGCTTACCACTGAAGAGGTGCAGAACATGGATGCAGAAGAAAGACGGCGACTTATCCAGGCAGATGCGGTCACTTGCGCTCGGTACTTTGATATGCGTTTGCGAGAGTTGATGAAAACATGGAAGTCGACAGATGGTCCATTTGGCAACCGGACAGTGTTGCATCGATACCATCGGATAGAATTTCAACAGCGTGGCTCACCCCATGCTCACATGCTGCTATGGCTGTCGGATGCCCCACTGTTTGATGCTGATAGCGATGCAGAAGTCATAACATTTATTGACAGCATCATATCCTACAATACAGCGTACGAGGAGGATGATACGGAAATGCTTTCTATATTGCCCAGACAAAATCATATGCACACAAGAACGTGCAAGAAGCGGGACAGACCCTATATCAAGTGCAGATTTGGTATCCCATTCATGCCAATGGATGAAACGCGTATATTGCGGCCGCCCATTTCTGATGAACTCTCACTAGAAGATTTAAGGCGATATAAACTAGTAAGTTTTTTTTGTGCTCATCTGTTGCTGAAGATTATTCGCGTTCTCTGATCATGCATAATGAAAAACTAAAATTATTCACAATAGAAATATGCCGAGCTACGTACTTACGTCGAATCATTTAACGCCAATACAGCCCCACATATCACGTTTGGTGCATTTCTTGAGACTAATGACATTTCGCTTGATGAGTACCTCCTTTGCATACGAGTTTCGCTTCAGAAAGAGAAAATTTTCTTGCAAAGAAGACCGCGTGATATGTTTGTTAATGCGTTCAGCGAAAAAATCTTTCGGCTCTATGCAGCAAACATGGATATCCAGTATGTACTAGATGCATATGCGTGCTGTACATACATTGTCGACTATATCAACAAAGAGGACTGAGGATTGAGTGAAACGATCGAACAAGTATATCAGGAGCAACAGCGGAATAACACATCGATAGCAGGAATGCTCCGTGGTCTTACGAACGCTCACTACAATACCAGTGAAATATCAGCCCAAGAGGCTGCATACAACATCCTGCGCCTGCCAATGTCTGTAGCGTCGTCCGCAGTAGTCTTCATTCCTACGTCCCCGCTGGAACAAAGAAGACGTATCCTCAAACCTGCGAACGAATTACGCCGAATCGAAGACCGTACATCTGTCGATTGTTTTGTTCCCAACATTTTGGATCACTACACCAACAGACCTTTGATCATGGAGAATGTTACTTTAGCAAGTTTCGCTGCATGGTACAATTACAGCAGAATCGGTAGGAGAGGGGCACAACAAGAGGAAGATAGTTCCGACAGTGACAGACGCGACGCCATTGATAGCAGCAGAAACAACAACAGCAGCAGCATCAGTAGTAGTAGCAGCAGTAATGATAACAGCAGCATCATTGGTAACAGCAGCATCAGCGGTAACAGTCTTGAAGAGAGCGACAGCAGCGATGATGATAGCAGTAGCACTACTACGCAGAGGTCCATTGGTACTTTGGATGCTGAGCAAGATGGCACCACTGGTAATTGGATCCGCTTACAGAACAGCGATGGATTTATAAAGCGCCGCAAGTCACCCAAAGTAGTCCGATTCCGTGGCTACAAGTTGCATCAAGATTCGCAGAACTACTTCCGGGAATTGGTAATGCTCTATCATCCATGGCGTGATGAAGAGTTCGACATTCTATTTGTTGACTATGAGCAGCAATTTCGGCAACACCAAGACAGCATTTTGTCAAACCGACGTGAATTCACAACGCTTGATGATGCCGCACTAATGGCAGCATTGGACAATGCAGAAGAACAACACGCCGACAACGAAGAAGAAGAGGACCATCAAAGGTCGTTAGCCAATCCACTGGACGAGTATGAGTTTGACGATGACGAGACAAACAATCATGTGGATGTGATGACCGAAGCTGGTGCATACGGACGTGCATTATATCAAGAAACATTTATACACCCCGATCGTCTTAACAATGACGAATACGAGGAGCTAATGGCTGGCATGAATGTCCAACAGCGCGATTTTATTTATCATGTCAAGCATCGTATCCAAGCGAGCAATGAACCGTTCCATTATTTCCTGACCGGTGGAGCTGGCACTGGAAAAAGTCGTGCTGTGTCGGCATTATACCAAATGTTGAGTAGACTATTGGACGAAGAGGTGCAACATCGAGATCGAGAGAAGCCCTCTGTATTACTATGTGCTCCTACTGGCATGGCGGCATACAATATTCATGGCCAAACAGTTCACTCAGCTTTTCACTTACCAGTCAATCAGCGTGGTGATAATTTTGTCGAGCTTTCTGCTGATGTAGCGAACACGATGAGTACACAGCTTGCCGAACTCAAGGTCATCATAATCGACGAGATTTCAATGGTCTCTGAGCGCCAATTTCGTTATGTTGATCAACGGTTGCAGCACATATTCGGCAATCAACGGCCGTTTGGTGGATGCTCAATGATCGCTGTCGGCGATTTCAACCAGTTACCTCCTGTCAGGGCACAAGCAGTATACAGTACAAATCTCGAAAATCCATATCTCACGATGTTTAATCAGCCATTATGGCACCTGTTTCAAGTCTTTCGGTTGACAATTATCATGCGTCAGCGGGAGGATGGTGCCCTAGCGAACGCTTTGAATAATATGGCGCAGAATACAATGACGGCTGCTGATCGTGAACTTTTGGAATCAAGAACATTCGAATCAGTCCTAGCCTAGGCAGAGGAGTTAAGGCCGGTTTACCTTTACCACAGCAATGCCGAAGTGAACAGCAAAAACGATGAAATTTTACAGCTGATGACAACACCCTCGGCAACATCAGCAGCCATTGATATACCTACTGGCGATGGAAATGCTCGTGCCAACAGCAAATGTTGGACAGGGTCAGAAATTCAGCTTACAACGAAACAATGGGTCTACCAACGGATATCTTCTTACGCATTGACGCAAGATACATGATGACATGCAATCTTGACACCAGCGATGGTTTGGTGAATGGTGCCACTGGGTATTTGTGCTGTTTCGACTTTGCTACCCACAGGGACCGACGGGACCGAAGACCACTTCGAATTTGGATTGAATTTGATGACCAGCAAACAGGGAGAAAACAGCGAGAAAAGCATCGACACTTGATGGAGCAGCGCGACATCGTAGGTTGGACGCCTTTGGAGATGGAGTTAAAACTCATCAAGCCTAGGACCGATTCAACTATGGGTGTCTTGCGTCGTCAATTTCCAGTGGTGCCAGCGCAGGCAATAACCATCCACAAATCACAAGGTCAGACGTACGATACCGTAGTGATTATACTACCTAGATGTGCGCTCAATTGCTATTTGCTTTATGTGGCATGCTCGAGAGCAAGAAGAGCTGCTGGATTATTTCTTATTGGGACATTTCAGAATCCACCGTCAGGACCTAGAGAAGGATTGCTAGCAGAACTACAGAGACAAGAAACAATGAAATTGATACCGCATTTCAAGTTTCTTCACGATGATCGCAGAAATTGTCATCAGTTCATATTTCACAACGTACAAAGCTTACGAAAACATTTAGATCTTGTCAAAAATGATCAAGTGTATTTGGTGTCTGATTTCTTGCTCTTTGCGGAAACATGGACTTCACCTAGCGATACTGACGAAGAGCTGGCTATCGACGGCTTTACTTTGGTAACTCGACAAGACAGTAGTACCGTGGAGTCTCCAAGCTGACGAGCCTTTGGTACCGCAGTATATATTCGCAATAGCATGGTTCTGCAAGTTCAACGTGCATATAGCTACTCGCCAAATGCACGTATCAGTATGTCAATCATCGTATATAGTGGGCCATTGACGGTATCGAGCATCTATGCCTCGCCTCGAGCTCCTATTGACACCTTGATTGCTGCGTTGGACGAACTACTTGTAAACCATCCAAACACTGCATATATACTCGCTGGAGATTTTAACATAAATCTCAACTCCCCAGAGGATGCTCGCACTTCACGACTCCTACAGTTCTTTGCTACTCATCGACTACTACCCGCCCTTGCCCCAGAAATATCTACAACACGGTCCGGCACATCCATTGACGCATATTTTACCAATTTCCCTGCTACGACATTTACTGCAAACACATACACCACTGTATCAACATCCACACATCTACCGCTGTATTTACGCCTTGGCTAAAGAGTAATAAACATATTTCTTGCATTGTATTTTTTGGGCGTTCTATACGGATTATGAAATCACCTTTAGTGTTTACCTTGACCGTCTGTCTGTCACGCTTCTGAAAATGGAAATAAAAGTGCGGCCCTTGAAATTGACCACGCTACCACTGCTGATAATATTAATATCACAGCTTCAACATCGCACCATTCCTCTTTGTATTTGTAATAACATTTACAATTAAGAATATATAAATAATTCTATTGATACAGCTCTAATAATGAGTATCAGGTGTGGATACTTCATATTTATCTTGTGCTGGATAAGACAACAAAACTCTGATCCATCTTTGTATACGAAAATACTGATCCAGCCTCCAATGCTTGAAATGTATGGGGGCTTGCCCCCACCTCACGGGTCTACGGGAGCCCAATCTTTGAATGACGCGGAGCGAAGCGAGGCACGTGACGTTGTTGATTAAGACAGTGATACTGAGTTTAATTACACACAACGGAGTATCAAGTATAGAACACCTTGCCAAGGGCCGCCGCAGGCGACTTTTACTGCAGAACTTATCTCCCATGGGATAGCGGCAGTAGTAGTAGGTGATATTCTGGGCGTCGTTTACGCCCTCGAACCATTTGTACAGCCAGCTCTTGCGTGCTTTAACCCCTTTTACTTTCAGCTGGTGTTGCACGGAGGTCAATACACCGGTTTCGCCGTTACTGGTGTTGTCAATCGCCTCATTGTCATAGTCAGTGGACATCGCAGAAAACTGGCGGGCTGTGGAAGGTGAGCTACCCATACGGTCAGGCATTGACGAATCCTATTTAAAGTCAAATAAATGTGTTGGATCAGGTAAGTGAGGATATACTGATATTCTTATAGAATGAAGGGTCAACTTACTTCATCAGACCAGTCATTATCGAAAGCAGAGGAGTTTCGTTTACCAGGGATGGAAAAAGAAGACAGATTCATGGTGGAAGGTTAGAGTAGCTATTCCAAGGTATGTATAGTGAATAAACAGGTATGTGATTATCGGTATGAAATAGAGAGCTAGCTATATGTGAGGAATATTAGGAATGCCTACCGTTATCTGGATCAATAATAAATAGAATTGTATGTCTTCAAACAACTTTTTTTTGCCCCTTTTATATCTTTAATGTCTTGCTCTTTTTTTACTTCTATTAAGAACTACATTGTTCACGGATATCCATGTGATTTCAAATCTTGGTAGCAATCATGACCCAGTTCGCAAAGGCAGATATCATCCTTCGGGAAATGTCGCCATGAAGACAATCATGAAAATTAAGATGACAGTTTCCTAAAACGTCAGATCGCTGCTATCGGTGCTTGCTGGGTTGCGGTCTTTTCGTCCTTTCTCTGCTCAGCATGACAGAGCTTAGCACTAAATGACGGAAGAACGAGCTACTTCCGGATCTAAAGCATAGATGAATGCTTTTACGGATCCTCCCTAACCGGATGTATGCTATCACATGTGCATCACCAAAGACGACTTCGATTGATTGGTATAATTTTTTTATACAACTATACCACTGATATATAGAGCGAAATAGATCAACGATATTTGAAGTTATCATATAATCAGCATTCGATAAGCTATGAGTATTTCTGCCTTAACAGGAACGGATGTAATGGCATTATAGATAACGCTTATGCATAGGAGAAACAGTAAAAGACGACCCAGCCTGATACCATTACTAAAGATGCTATCCCTGGTTTGATATCTTCAGATGCACACTTAATGAGGGGGTGGATGACATCAGCGGGGTCAATTTATAGGAAGAATGCACAAAAGAAAAATTACTGGGAGAAAAAGCAAGTGCACACTTCTTGATATTTGATACTGCTACTTTTAAAAAACGATTTCTAACAAATCAGGTTGAACGGAATGTACGCGATCAAAGGTACAGCATCAAAAGCAGGAATAATTTTACTACAAGCGAATGAATGAGTGACAGAAAATTGCGGAAGTGAAGGGAAAGCTCAGAGTTATTTTTTTCTTTCAATATAGTTGCTATTGCCTGTGCGCCATAAAGTCTTGAACGATTTCCGACCTAAGCGATTGAAAGAGTGGACAATTTGCTGACACGACCCTTTCCAAGCAGCAGCGGAATAAGATAAAATAAAGCAGCTTTATAAGCTGTATAGCAGAAGAGATAGAGGAAAGTGCGGCTTTTACTCGGTTGGCTTTTTGCATACAGAACAACTGATAAAAGTGTTATGTCGTTTCCACAGAGATCGCAAAAGCATTGACGAACACAGTGTTGGGAACGTGGAAGGATGCACTTGTTAAACGCGACGGCATTAATAAAGCGAAAGGAAAAGCTAAAAACAAACAGTTTACCATGTTGCTTTAAAGTATAGTATGATTTAGATCTCAAGGATGCCTATGGAGTACAATGCCACTGCCGGCGCCGCTCTATTTACTACGACCAATGCATGAGGGCAACGACGATTCGTGTTTTACTTCTTCATATGAAGAGCATAGGGAATGGAAAGAGGATTATCAACTATCAGCAAGTATTGAGTGTCTATCCTATGGAGTAAGTGAATGCACACAATCTTATACTGTATAATATATGTATGTGTTTGTATGTGTCTTTGTGTGTATAGTATTGCCTTCAGTTTGGCTAGTAGTGTGCGGTGTATTTGAAACGAGGCAGTTACAAGCAGCTGCTTCCCTTTTTTTCACCTATCCCTCAACAATAGGCACGTCGAGTTTATGAATCCCTCTACAATTGCCATATATTGCATTCCTTTAGGCATTAGCTACAACGACTTAATAATAAACCAAGACTTTGATTATAAACGACTACCTTTAAACCTTTTATTATATGTAGTATATAAAAATGCATAAATTCTGTTCCCCCTATTCATCCCTTCAGCTTCGCACTTTCTTTCGCATTCCTTAACAATCTACCAATTACAAAGCTAACCATGAGAATTGCAATAGAAATAAAACGTATCAAACGGATCAATCTGGAATGGCACCTTCCAATCCATTTTGAATCCGGATTGCTCAAGCTCAATCTGAATCTGTTCCGATCCGTAAAAGCCCTCGCTCGAATCCGGTTTCTTCTCATTCGAAACGAAACGGATCGACGAATCTGGATTCGATGCCGGTCCCTAGGATGGAAGTAGGGCTTATGTATCCCGTTCACCTTCCATTTGCCAAAGATGTTCCATGAGATCATGTCTCAAACGATCATGCGTGTTTACATCCCTAAGTTCTTTGTGACGTCGGATGAAATCTTGCAAGATGGATGGATTTTCTCTTGCTTGATCGAAGACTTCTTGCGAGTATCTCCATTCATGCAATGTTCGCGAGACATCCAGATCGTTTTGGACCACTGGACAGGAGAGGGTATGTCAAGGGGTTGAAAAACAGCTTGACATGTGGGTGGCAAGGACATGTCAAGATGATGTCAAGCTGTTTTTAACCCCTTGACATTTCTGTAGAAACAGCAAGTTAAGGGTCTATCAAGCTGTTTTAACAGCTTGACATATGGTATCCAAATTTAGGCGTGTATGTTACTGCATATGCATGCAAAGAGCAATGTAGTTCCCCCAGTTTCTCTACATATGGACCGGGTACTAGAGCTGTATCAAGCTGACAGAGGTCTGCATAGCATGTTTTAGCGTGTTATAATTTGTGCATATACCAAACGAATAAAATGACCGCAGTAGGTATCAATTTTTATATAGCAGCGATGATTATGATGGTATGGTAATAAGCAACCGAATTTTATTTATTTCAATATTAGAGTAGCAAAACAAAATTATTAAGGATTCAAAGGAGTCAAAACGGGAGCAAACAATAAAAGCAAAAGCAAAGAGAGCATCTATGTATATGTGTATGTCTGTGTGAATATGCATACAATCTCTAGCTGGTGATGGGGCCGAAAATAACAAGAGTGAATCGCAACAATGCCGTGTGTGTTGATGACCCACGGTCCACTCAAAACGTTTGTGCTGCAACTAGGTGAAAGTGAATATAGAAGTGTTACCTTTTTCTAAAAGCGCCATATGAAGTGTGGCAGCACTGACCAGCTTTCGCAGCAACACTAGGAATGACGTGAGATTGAGCGTGTATGAAGGATCCAGTTAGATGTTTGGCATGAGAGATCGTAGCAACAGTGGTAGCATTATGGGTAGAAGGCTGTAGTTCAAAGACAAAAAATGGAGTATATAGATAGAAAGAATGAAGAACTTACAAGCTTAGTCCTATGATGGCGCCGCCTACACTTTTGGACAGGAGAACAGATGATCGCGTCCTGAGCTATAAGAATACCCAAATTAAAGTGGTATTAGATAGAGCCATAAAAGTTAAAACTAGTTTGACCACAACATGAGTAAAGAGGTGCTTCATGAACCTGTACTTACGAGCCTTAAGAGAGTAGTGCGTCGCGTCAAGAAGGGAGGAAGTAAAGTGAAAAGAAAGAGAAAGAGGCGGGATAAAGAGAGAGATAGATTGACGCGGAATAAAACTAGCTGCAATACCAAAAGAAAAAGTGACCCTGATCATGCACAAAAAAGAGCACCAGACAGAACAATCCCCCACCCGATAAAAGGTTCCCCCCACATCCAAACCAATCTATTATACCAACCTCTTTCTGTCCACATACATCTTCGTACCTACTCCAAAAAAAGTGAGCGTTGACAAGACGAAGCATTACAGCTGTAGTTATGTGATGTATACTGAGATGATCTTGTATAGATGCCCACTGTATCTGAATTGCAAGCCCAACGTCAACGACGTATGGCAGTGCGTGAGGCCGATGTCGAACAGGCCAACAGTGCCTTGGATCGGCAGCAGCAGCAGCAGCAAAATGCGCTTTTGGATCGAGTCATTGGTTTGGAAGCTGAGAACCAGGTGATGCGATCCGAGCTCACTGTGATGGGCCGAGCAGTTGCTGGTATGGTAACTCGTGGTGCCACTACTGGTACTGATGCTACCGATGAGAGGAATGGTGGCGAGCAAGTGCAAGCTCGTGGCCGCCGTGCTCCAACTGCGTCTGTAAGTTTGTCGTGTTCTGTCAAGAGAGATTGAGACGGCTGGTGCAAAGAAATTGCTCATTAAATAATATTGCCTTCATATATAAAAGGAGTGCATACGCGCTTACAATGGACGGCTTGGAAACGCTGGCCTGAAGCTCGACCTCAGTTTCACCGATAGCCACAACAAGGAGGCTGTGAAGCGCCTTGTTGAGTATGTCCACGGTCAAGGGTGCTTTAACTTGAGCAAGGGCCATATCAGGAATATGGTCTACCACCACTTCGACCATAAGCGCATGATGTCGAGACAGTCGGCTGCAACAAAAGCCCAGAGAAAAGTGACGAAACGGCGTTACCAACGTCGATACAATGTAAGCAAAAGTAGTAGTAGAAGGGCGTCGCATAAAATAATGAAGCTTGACGATGTTGACAGAAATCGATACGGCGACTTAACGTTTTCCGACGCCATGCATTCGAGCTGGAGGAGCAGTACCCTGGCGGATCGTCATTGCTGCAGGCCGAATGTATGTCGGATGAGGAGACCGACAATGAGGGGAGCGCTGAAGGCTTGAGTAGCGTTAAGCGCGTGTCAGTCTTTGTGCCCGAATGGCGCAGTGAGAGGGTAATGATTTAGAAAGCGGGTGTTCTTTGCATACACATCTTATTGAAGAAATTGGTATAGGCAAACGTTTTCTTAGCGAGACTCGACGAGTACAGTGCGCCCACTGTTGATGCCCAGCCGAATGCGCTCGCACGAACAGCGGCTCGAAAGGCGGGCACCTTGGTCGAGAAGGTGCGCTCGCAGCTGCAAGACTGGATGCTTGCATAACTAATAAAATGGTTACCAGCTATATGCTGTGCGGGTTTGGGGTGGGCAAAAGAAGTTTATACCATATGTAACTGAATGGGGGGTGGGGGTGTGTGGGGGAGAAAGAGACTGCTTCAGAGAGGAGGAAAGAAAATTTGAAAATTGAATCGTAGCACTGCTTCTACTATTTGATTTACGCCAACATCTTTTTCGGCAATGGAATTACAACAGTTCTACCACTTGCATGCGTTTGATCATACTTTACAACTGCCACCTGCCCATATAGACGATGAACGGGCACGATGCAGTCCATGTCTTCAGCACGGAAGTGGCTACGCCACGTCTCCAGGTAACTGTCAACAAATAGCGGCTCATTGCTGCTGAAGATGCTGTACCACCTAACAAAAGCAAAAACGTGCTTTTCAAGCTGGCCGTTGACCATCAATTCGTGCCGAAAGAAGTACTAGATCTCGCATGGCCAAGCGATAGGCTCGCCTCGATCCTCTGCCTGGTACAACACCTGTGCATGTGCACCTCGACGTGATCGCGCTTCTTTACTTCTGTATAGCTGACCCATAATGCGTATGGTCTTAATTTTCTCGTATCGGTTGTTGACAAAAATGCGGCCTGCTTGCGCTTCTCTATAGTGGTCGAGTTCGGCACCATATACCGACCGGTAGAATGCGAGAAGGTACTCATACACTGGCTCAATCATGAAGCTTGTTGGCGCAGTGTCTAATGGATACGCATCTGGCGGCAATGGCTCGCTTCCAGTGGCCAGCTCTGTACTCGTCGACAGCGCAAAGAAATCGTGAGGGTCAAACGTACTATGCGCAATGTCAACACTTTGCTGAATCGGTTGTACGATGTCAAGGAAGCGATTCAAAAAGTCGAAATGGCTTGGTCTATCATCGAAGCGGGCTTCAAACGACCGGACAAAGTCGCGAGCACCTGTCTTTTGCAAGAACTTCTTCATAAATGTCATTTCGAACGAATCCTTCTGGTTGGTATCGATCTCCTTTAAATACCCATTATATCTCTCAAAACTAAATAGCCAGAAAGCGTATAAAGGTCCAAAATCCTCGATCGTTACATCCAAATGCATATGTAGATGCATATTCGGCGTGACCTCTTCTGCTCCGTACAAGCGTTCCACACCACGGCAAAAGGACAGCAAAAGTGTACTGGCTTCTTCGATCTCATCCATAGTGATTGATGGTTTGACTAGCAGTCGACAGGCATTTACAAACTGCAGCCAATGTTGAAGGAGGTGGCGGGGGAGATGGTTTTGCAAAACAAATGGCGAGTACACAATACACCACGATTTCCAATCATCAGCAGTCATGAAGGAGAAGCCAGCTTCTATCTTTCGCTTCAAGGAAACGTAGTTGGGGGGGAGCACAATGCTGTCGGCCAACACCTGCATTTCTCGAAGGTCCTGCCTCGTCAAGTCGCCATTCTCGATCCATGTCTTTGTCATACGCTTTGCTGTCCCGAGGAACAGGTTATGCATCGGATCAATGATCGTACAGCGAACAGGGTCAAAGTATTCAAGGCGGTGCAATTCTGACCATCGAGTTCCGGTGTCGCGTTCGATTTCTCGGCGAGCAGCAAGTGTGTCAGCTTGCCGCCATTGTTCGGCGTCATGGCGATTGCTTTCGCGTGTCCGCAGCTCCCATTCCTCCATTTCGAATCCTGAGTAGTCGATGTCTGTTGTACCAGGAAATACGAAAAACTGGCGAGTGCATTTATGGCAAGCACAAGTGCTAGCATGGGAAGTGAACCCACCGGTTTTTCTGGCAGCAGGTATGTCACAAGCATTGAGTAGTAGGGCCAAACGTACTTGTGCTCCCTCTGGATGCTCGTTCGTTCCAACTGTTTTCCAATCATACCATTCAAGCAAATCATCGACCATTGGGCGCAAGTAGTGGTTCATGTCGGATGTGCTTGGCTCTCGCGGACCTGGCATTACTCCAATGAGTATAACATTCTCCGTTTTGTAACGCTCAGATCGAGGGAGATTATTGACGGTCAAATATAATGCACCGCATGAGTATGTCGAATTCGTGAACGGGCCGAACCAGTCAACATTGAGCGTCAACAACAGCGAACGAACCTCTGCGGCAAAGTGACGACCAGCACGATCAGCAAACTCTCGCCACATGTCGCCATCATAAACGTCGTAAAATGTATTTGCGACACGTCTGCGATCGCGCCATGTTTCGATCATCGTCTCAAATCCCGGTCGTTTGAACAGTCGCTCAATACTCGCAGATAAGGGCTGGTAAGCAAATTCTTTGATTGGCGACAATCTATTGCCCACTGATCTGAACAATGCTCGGCCACATAGGCGACTGTAACGGATATCGTTATTTGTGCATGTACGTGGGCAATCTGGCGTCAAAAGGTAAATGCTATGGCATGTCGGACATGATACATAACGTCGTAAAGAATCAATTTGGGTAGCGATGCCGGTGATACGACGCAATGTGGCAAGAGAGAGAGGAAGACGGTCAGAAGATGGAAAAGGAAGATCTTCGAGAAGGATTGCACAAAACTCAATAAGCGTGCTCGACGTTCGTTCAGAGAGGAAGTGCAACTGGAACAGAACAAGGAAAACAAGGACAAGAACGTAGGGATGAGAATAC